TAAAACATGAAACCGAGGCAAAAAGGAAGTCGTCTCATGAGACGGACTATTTGTTTTGCCACATTCATTTATTACACGATGGCCTTCTGGCACTTAGTCAATCAGTCACATTTTCTGTCACATTTGCTTGTTTCACTCTATTAAAGGGGTCATGAAACGCTTTTCCAACTTTTTCCTGTTTAGCTTTCCTCCTCAACTCATAAATCGCGCATTCCACCAAACAGTTAAGAATACGAAAAGGGGGAGTCCCCTCTTGCTCGCTCTCTCGTTTGTGTAATCTGGACACATCCATTCTCCCCCTAGAAGATTAGCCCGTCGCTCAAAATTCAGACAAAAGTTGCTTTCCCCACCCCGTTTATTCCAAAGCTGACAGTGCTGTTGGAGCTACGTGCTCGTTGGGCCAGCCACACTTGCCACGTGAGCGTGGCAAATGTGGCTGCAGAGAATGAAGTCAGGTGATGAAAGGGAGGCGGCTGATTGGTCCGGCAAGTGCGTAGCTTCCACCACAATGTCAGCTTAGGGGTGAAGGTACTAAATGAGGTCCGGTTGCGTGTGACGTCAGTTTGGACCCGATGACGCGCTTTTGGGACCGCGGATGTATCACAGTGAAAAGGCAGAGAGGTTGCGAAGGGGAGGATGTACGAAATAGTCCGCTCTTTTTTCAAATTTTCGCACTGAAAGTCAGGCTTTTGACTTTCTACCTTTTTTCTTTTGGTCCACTGAACGATGTGCTATTAGTAAAATCCCAATCTAAAATGATTTATCCCAACCCAAAAATCGTTTCATCGGCCCTTTAAGACAATTGACTCCTTAGTTCGTGGGCCTCGTACATTTTATATTCAAAAATGGCCGTCCAACCTGTGGTGGGAGGTCGAGAGTGTGCTGTTACTTTTATTTAACCTTTTATGAAACTACCTGGAAGGCGCTAGGCATAAAATACTATTTCACATATTTTCTAATTGTTTTCTAAGCATGGATGTCAAAAATGTGTTTCAAATTAAAATATTTGTGATTGCAGAGCAGCGCTCTTGTTTTACGAAGGAGATTAAGTTAAATAATTGTGGAACGGGTGCAGTCGCTAATATTTATCGCGTGAGTTAGTCGTCGTAACAATAAACAAACTGTAAAAGTTAGATTTTTTTATATGATCTTCTAATCTTAAAAGTCTATAATCCGAGTAATTATGTCATCGTCATGCACGGGTAAGTGACAGGCCGGCCCGTCAGCGCGCCGGCACAGCGAAGCCCAGTGCCTAGCAGAATGTCGTTTTCTCGCTCGCTGGCCTACCTACAGTGACGTCACGTAGCAGGCGCGCAGGCTTTAGGACGTGTTGACTCGCGCTGCAGCCCTGCCGCCCTGCAGCAGCGACCAAGCGGGGATGCGCGATCCAGCAAGTTGCGATAGAGACCACTGGTCGAACTTTTTCGTCGACCTTCGCAGAAAGTTCAAAGTTTCGTCGGACCAGTCGGACCCCGACAGAAATCGCACGTCGTACACGTATGTAATGTAATGCCATAACACGGTTCGACCGCCACGCCGATCTCCAAACAAACGAGTATGACGGACACAGGAACGTTGAACGAGAAACTTGAAACTTCTCGTTCGATGATCTTGTATCGAGTGCGGTTGTAATCAAAGTGAGTGCCTGAATCATCTGGCCTGAACGAATAAAGCCTTTTGGCATAACAGTTGGAAGGTGCTTACCTTACTCTCCTGCAAAGATCACCGCATACAGTAAAATAGCGAACTGCCACACAACGGATTGTCGGACACCGAAAATTGGCATTACTTTCAGCAGCACAAAAATTGCATTTTTTCGGTTCCTCGCGCCAACTCGCGCTTTCCGCGGAGCGCCGCAACGCTCACGTTGTTCGCGAGAATCCACGAGACTACCAGAGAAACCGAAACAAAAACCAAACGTCGCGCGGGCTAGTACAGATAGTCGTTCCCGAATAGTATACGTCCAAGTTTGTGTCAGTGAGTTAAACAGAAAAACTTTTTTTGTTGTTGTTGTTTTGTTTTAGAGAGAAAAGGGAGAGTCAAGTGGCTGTCTGTTCTTAAACGCGGGGAGCTTTAAATATAACGGAATTAACGACGTCATTCAGCATTTCTAAACGCCTACTTTGCGCTTTACGTCAAAAAAGAAAAAAAGGAAAAAGACAGCGCTTTGGATGTTACGCACACTTCTCAGTTCCTCAACGTCTAAACATGTGCGCATTCTTTGGAAGCAGAGCCATAACAGACAAGAGAGTTCAAGGTTGGCAACGCATTTTGAAATCGCGATAAAAAGAAATAACTGCTTTTCAAGAGTATTGAGCCTAACTTTCGGCAGTCAGCCTTATTTATTTGTATTTTCCCCTCAAATCCAACACAAGCATACCGAAACCATTTGCAACAGGAGCGGCGAGGGTAGGACCGACATCCCAAACGATTGCTTCCACCGGAATTAGAACACTCCCACCCACGCCAATAAATAAACAGTTCCAGGGGACCCAACCCACGGAATCGCCGCAGCCCAGCTTACATTTCGAAACAAGATCCCGCCGCACTTGCAACCGCAGAAAAAAAAAAGGGCGCGCAGGCCGCCAAAGCAAACATTCCGTTTTAGTAAAGCGTTTTACTCCACGCTGGACCGCAATAGGTGCTACGAACCGTAGAAGCCAATTACGTGCTGTGTTAAAGTCACGTGACCGTCGAATGGGCCCAGCGGTTCGCGGGGCATGCAGCCACGTGACATGTGTTCACGGCGCCTGATTGGCTGGGATGGCTTGTGGCGTCCGCTGGTGTCCGTCATAAGAACTGAATCGAAGCATACGATATGAGCCAGCGCCGACGTCTGCTTGAGCTCGAACGGTGGACGCGGTCGCTAGCGGGGTTCCCTTTCAAAACGCGCACGAGACGAAATAGGGCCTGAATGCGTCAAAATTAATGCAATTTCCTGCCCGTAGCGCGAGCGAGGACGCTGCAAACAGAACTTGGCGGCCAGTCGGGTGGTCGGCGACATGCTTTTGTGTCGTCACGTCTCCTGGTCTCGATCTCCGAGTCGCTTATTTACGTCTTTTAACGTCCGCTGCGGACTTCCTTGCAACCGTTCCGGGCGTCGGCGCCGATAAACGTACGTTTCAGCCTTCTCCCATCAAAGGAAAGGTATGTGCCGTTTTTTGTATCAACTACCTTTTTTTTTCTTCTTTTTTTTTTAATTTATTTACAGCTGATTGTTTCTTTTTGGCGTTTAATGGTGCTTGATTGACCCGGCGCCCCTGGTGAATTGTACGTAAGATGATCGTTTTAAGCAGCACTCCAGTTTTAGTGACACTTCGTGCGTCAGGTGTAAACGTCCTCTAGAGATGATCCAAAGATGGAAAGCGATCCCCGACGATTACACCAAAATCACTCCTGTGGCGTAACTATGCTAACTTTACGCCGATAAAGGAGTCGCGTTTTATACTGCGCAACTCGTGAAATGTGAGCTAATAAACGCGTACTTTATGTGTTGTATGCAGGGGCAGATCCAGAACTCCGTTTTTTTTTTGTTTTTTGTTTTTTTTTTTGAGGGGGGGGGGGGGGGGGGCGGAAAATTTGTAAGGATGCTATTGTCCCATTCTTTCGCGAGGCACCGGGGGGTCCACCCATGCCAAATTGCCCTCCAAGAGGGGGGGGGGGGGGGGGGGGAGGAAAGGGGTCGACTTTGTTTGCCCCCCCCCCTTTTGGGTCTGCCACTGGTTGTATGTTTTGCAGTTTAGTTTCATTCTCCGGTGTATGGTTATAGGTCACTTACATCGTCACACCGCACCCATAAACGCACATTCGTTGCCTTTATTTTACGTTTCCGCGTCTCGGGGTTTAGATTATGATGCTTCATGGGTTCTTATCTTCATATTAATACCCAAGCTTCTCTCAATGCGCGTACTTTTTATGACAGTGTAACTTGGTCATCCTGTCAACCGAATAAGGTAACAATTAACACGATTGCCTATCCTGCATTCAGATTCGTCCATATTGAGATCACCGTGAGGCACAAAAATGCGCGCAACAAATTTACAAGCCGAATTCGTGCTAGATGAATGCGATGGCGTCGTGTCTTTTCATTAACTACATTTCATTCGTTATTTTTTTTTTTAGTGGTGTTTTATAAGAGATGAGGATGCTGGAAGATATTGTGGCACGGACATAAATCGCATGACCACTTGAAAATACCGCTTACACGTCGTATATTTGATTGGCGCGTAGATGTCATGCAAACAGGTGGTCATAAATGCAGCAAAAATCAGCAACCCCTAGAAAAAAATAAATGGACATTTTGAAGAGTACAAAGTTTCCGAGCTATTCCCGCACCGTTATCTGGCATAGGCTCTACATGAGATTAATGGGCGTACCAACCGGGGGGGGGGGGCAAGGGGGGCGCCCAAGGGATACCAAGGGCACCGCCCCCCGGCCCGGCCTAGGGGGGGAGGGGTTTGGATTGCCGCCCCCCCTTCCCCCCCCCCCCCCCCCCCCCCCCCACTCAAAAACAAGTTGGTACGCCACTGATGATATTGATAAATATGGGTCTTCCAATCGCTTTACTAGAGGTTCACGGATTTGCATCAACTGCGCCCACATGCAACGTGAGGTTCTGTGAGGTGATCGCTTGTCCTGGTAACTCTGTCGTTACTGCCATTTGTCTGAACCAGAACCGGAACCAGGCATAAGGATTCTTTCGAATATTGGTTCTGACAACAAGCATGAATTTATATATAACGCTTATGCCAACGAAACGTTTTTGTAATGTTGTCGTGTTGTTCTTATGCAAGTATCGAGTCCCGACACATCCAGGATTTGGAAACGCACAGCAGGAAACGATTTCTCTCGCGCCAGTCCGCCCATAGTAAAGTGTGTCCAAGAATTATTTTTTTTTTATTGATCTTGTCCCGGCTCCGACTGAAGCTTATCTCTGGATAGATAACCCAGTGAGCGCTCGCAGAGGCAGCCCAGCGATTCCGCGCTACCGCAGTGTTCCCGTTGAACCGGGCAAGAAAGAGCCACCGTTGCGTCCGGCCTTGGAATGTGAGTGACGGAGTTACTATGACACGACGAAATGGTACTGTACTTCTCTTTAAACAGGGTTCGTTCAGTTCTCCGGTTTCTGTTGGTTTGGCGAGCTTGCTTTCGATCAGCCGTGACTGGATATCTAAGGAATTGTAGGCCATTTGGGGAAAAAAAAAAATATCGCAATCGTTCCCTTTAACCGTTGGAGATTTTTTTTTTTTTTTTTTTCTTCTACGGGCGGTTGGCACACACAGATAGATTGGAAAAGGGGGGGGATTTAGGTTAAGAGCGTAGCACTCATATTATGGTATAAAATTAAAACGCTGTCGGCTTTGATTCAGAGAAAATCCACCCTCTACGAGCAGATGAGATTAAAATTGCTGATTACGTGTTTTAATAACGTCGTGAAGTCCTCACGAGTTCTTAGTTTTTCACAACTTCGGAGGGCTGTTTTTGTTTGTTTCAGCAGTTCTTTGACACCGTGGCTAAACACTGCACATATTAAATTGTGCGTGTTATTATCTAACAAATGAAGGAGGGTGGCAGAAGCGGATCTGACGTTGTAAAACGAGCATGAAAAATCGGCGCCGGCACATAGAAACCTTGAACTTTCACCAAATGTGCACTAAGCAAGTCAGTTTTTTTTTTTTTTCTTTTTTGGTGTAACATTTTAAAGCGTAGTTTTCTTCCTATATAAAAAAATAAATAAATAAAGTTTACCTCGGGTCCGTTCGCAGGCGACCGAGCTTTAGTTGCGCAAAAAAATATTGAAAAATTAACTATCTACAGTATCGTTAGCTTTTTTTTCCCCAAAAAACTGTGGATAATGAACTGTCGATAGTGAACTATCGATGAACTGTCGGCAGTCAGTCAACTCTGGATAGTTGTATCGATAGCTGGCTCTCCGCTGACTATCGACACTACCGAAAGTCAAGTCCAAAAAGGAGACGACGACGGATATGTATGTACACGCAGAAAAGGCAGGCCACTGGCCAAAACATGAAATAGAAAGGAAACTAAACATTAGTGATGGACCGAATCTGCCGAACTTCTTTTTCGGCAAAGTTCGACAAATGCCGAACTTTTGGAGAAAAGTTCGGCAAAGATTCGGCGAAAGTTCGGCAAATGTCTGCGCACGCGCGAAGACGCAACGGAGCCATCGATTCCAAATGAACGGCGTGCAGTCATGCGGTTACCATAGTACAGTATAGTACAACCAGCGGTTACAGCGCGGTGTGGGGTAGGCAGCACCTGTGCGTTTGTGAGCGAGTGTGGTTCTCTTCAATATGTTCTGCCCCAAAAGTAGAAGATCGACCAGGAATTTACGCAGTCCATTGCACGAATGACAAATATGATGCGGTACATTCTGGATAACGTAATCTTAAAAAAAAAAAAGAAAAAAAAAATGGTTGTGTGTATGAGAACTTGGTCTGGCCTCAACGGACAACGAGTCTCCCAGCTGTAGATGAAAAATTTAGCCAGTGCGGTACAACCACGAGCCAGTGCGGTACAACCACCACAGGCTGGTACGATGCTCATCCAGATCGAAGCGGGCAGGGGTGGAACCACGGTGGGTGGAACCCAGCATTTCTGAGTTCTGCAGCACAAGCTTTCGCTCCACGTGCTCCGAGCTGGTGTGCGCTAGCCCACTCGGCCACCGATCCCCCACGTAATTTTCCTTTTACCTTTCCAGTGATGCAACGAGGTATACTCTGTTTCACCTTATGTTGTACCGCAGGAAAGGCTGTAAGCGCAAGCTCCTTGCTCTGGGGCAGATCTCGGCGGCACAAGCTCTCGTGCAGCTGTCAACGCTATGAGCTCGCGCTTCCAGCCTTCGCTGCGGTAAAACATAGGTGAAACTGAGTATAGTTGAAACATAGGCTGACAATTACTTTAAACCACTATTCGCAATTATCACAATCCTGTTTTCGGCTCAGAAGTGGTACGTGCAAAAACAAAATAATGTTGCTTTTTCAATTAGCGTTATTTCGAGATTTTCATCTATCTGCATAAAACTAAACACAACTATAATGCTCGACGTGGCACATCCATCATTCCTAACTCTCCCCATCTCCCTAAACGTCAATGTGTGTCCCAACACCGGAAACCGGCATTTTAAAGGTTAAAAAGAGACGTTGCGAATGTTGGACGCACACTTTCATGCAAAGCTGACGTCAAGCTGACTGAAATCGAAAATCACGTACATTTACAATAATATTGTTATCTCTTCTGGTAAAAACTCAGCAAGCGTTGCATTCGTTTTTTTGCGCAAGAAACGGTGACTCCCAGACAAAACAAGACCGCAGCGGTATTGCCTTCTTTTTAACAATGTACACACACTTGCAGGCTTGCGCTGATGAGTGATGATGTTTCGAAACCGAAACTCTCGTAACGTGATTCGTGACTGCGCCACTACCCAACCTCATTGTCACACCACTTCTGGAAGCAGTCACTAAAATTGCCAATGAAAACACAAAAACGAAACCGAGACAATTATCTCGTAGAATATCACCTTATTTAGTAATAACCGAGTCAATATGTATTTCATGTTGCATTTAGGTTAAAGGGGCCCTGCAATGACTTTTTGACTGGTTTTTAATTTGAACTGAACCTGAGCGTAGTGAACGTAGTAACTTAATCCAACTTTTCTTTTCTCAAATTTCGCTTTATTTTAAAAGCTATAGGCAAATTAGAATTACAAAAACAAGCAAAAAATAACCTCCTTCATGACGTCGTAGGTCCAGCCGTGAGTGGCCTTGAACTAGAGGAGGAGTAGTGAGCTCATCGAGCGCACACGGCTGCCGCACTCCGTGTCGACGGCGCGAGAGGGCGCCACTAAAGCATGTGTTGGATAGGCTGTATGAAGCGGGCGGCCAGGGCAGCTCGTATTGCATTTGCAGCGCGACTAAACACTAATTCCGCATTAAAATTTCATTGGCCACAAACGACAGCAAACACGGGGTAAAGATCAGTTCAGAACGCGAGCCACTTCGCGCTGACGCACCGCCAAATGGCCAAATCGCCAACAGGGCCCGCGCCGAAGGCCTTCGGAACGCTCGGAACCGGTCGGATTCTTGAGCCGGTATACGACCACAGCGCCGCCGCGTACATCCGGGACCTTTCTACGCTCCTCGTTTGTCGTAGCCTCATCCCACTAGCCTTTTCTAGTATGCGCCGTTTTTTTCCGCCGCTTGGTGGCGGGTATGTCGACGGGTCATTTCTTGTTTCCGTACTTTCTAAACTGCATTTGTTTCTTTTCTGATATAAAATAGTGAACAAAAACTACTTTCATACATAATTGGAACGGTTCGCGACACTTATATTTTGTATCTCGACTAAAAAAAAGCTCTTAGCGGCTTTGACCAGTGGCAAGCCCAGGACCAAAGACGTCACATTTTGCGCGCTTTCGGTACCGTGGGTCGCCCTCGTCGGTGGAGGAGATTTCCGCGTCGTCCGGTTAAAATATGACGCACTGATATTTAGTTACTCTCTCCGTGCCCGCTGGCTTGCCCCAACCCCAAGAGACGTAGAAACCGAAAAAAAGGTAGACACTTAAATATGATTGCAGGGCCCCTTTAAGAAAAAAAAATGTATAAAACCTTTTTTCGCCAGGTTGCGTATGGTAACATTGTATTTTTGCCGAATCTTTAGAGAAGTTCGGCAAAAGTTCGGCTTTTCTCGAATCCCAAGATTCGGCGCCGAACTTTCGATTCGGCAAAAGTTCGGCCCATCACTACTGAACGTACAGTTGCATTCTCATAGAATAAATTTAAAGACAATACATAACTGGCGTTTTGCTGCCTTTCCTGTGCACATATTTTGATTATTCCTCGGGTCCAAATATCAGGCTTCGCACATTAGCCCGCCAAGCATTTGTAGAAATGAAAATTTCCTTTACATTAATTGGTACGCACGCATCTGTAAAACACACACACACACACACACACACACACACACACACACACACACACACACACACACACACACACACACACACACACACACACACACACACACACACACACACACACACACACACACACACACACACACACACACACACACACACACACACACACACACACACACACACACACACACACACACACACACACACACACACACACACACACACACACACACACACACACACACACACACACACACACACACACACACACACACACACACACACACACACACACACACACACACACACACACACACACACACACACACACACACACACACACACACACACACACACACACACACACACACACACACACACACACACACACACACACACCTTTTTTTAGCTAAGAACTTTTGTTGAAGATATTTATCATTAGGACTTTTCATTAGTTTGTTTCACGTTTTTTTGAAAATGGGCACACTGCTGGAGATTATTACGTTGTTTGTTTCTCCTCCTGATGACCATTCAAAGCTAATTCCCGAAAATTGGGAACATAGCGTTCGGCCCTATTTTGGCAGATTTTGGTAACGGTGGCTGGTAAATTATATGCCTTTTGGTATAAAATACAACTTCAAAATATAGGACTCGTCAAGTAATGAATAAATACATAATTTTAGTCAATAAATGTAACAGAAATTCGGTTGTGGAAACTTCAAATCGAGCGATACCAGATAAGAAGTTTATACCAAGCAAGCATGGTTAGTTACCGATGCTCTTATTTTTTTTCTTTCTTTCCATTCTTCAATTACATTAGGTTCGGGAACATAAACACTAACTGACTAAAAGATAAATTGCTGGCAAAAAAAAAAAATATTTATTTTAGCAAAAAGAATTTTGTGATTTTGGAATGCAATATTGGTTCCTTTCTTGTTTGCAATTAATTTATTTGGTCGAAAGAATCACCACACTTCTTTTCATCTGGGTTAAGTCATGATCCAATGATGCGATGCGGCAGTATCTTCGTTCAGGTAAGACAAAGGTATTTTCATTATAATCACAATCAGAATTTTACACGTAAAAGGTTCCGGCATCGCTCCGGAACGTTACCGAGCCAGGCGCCTACGCTCTCGACGCTC